TATCCCCTTGACTGGTCTTCATTTGCTTGAATCATAAAAAACAGAGTGAATTTAGGTGGCTATACAGAAAAACCTGCATAATTTTGTAACCAACCGCACATATTATCTCAAATCTCTTAATTTGGATATCACTACACAAAAATAATGTTGTACAGAGGAAACAGAAAACAATTACAGAATCCCCTATCCCTTTCTTTTTTCTCTTTTTACTTGAAGAGTTTGAGGCAAATTTATATGGATAAAACCAACATGTAGTGAACCTGCATATGCTCAAATGAAAGAATTATTCAATTTTGACTTGCTTCTGGCTTTGCCATAAGACAGGGACAAAAATCAGAAGGAACCATTGGTTTTACTGTTGTGACCAAATTTAGTCCAAGGAATACAGAGCCTGAACTGTATTCCAAGGAATACAGAGCACCAAATAATTCTGAACGCCACTGAACAATAAAAGTGATCATTAACAACTTATTCAAAGACTGTGGGGGGAAAAAACCCATAAACAAGGTATTAAAAAGTAGGGAATTATTTAGTTACAGTATTATGATTTCCAAGTCATTACATTTTTAAGGCAAAATCTTATAGTAACAAAACACATAACTAATGTGTACTAAAATAAGGTTATTTACTTAAAAATGATACATTGGACATAATCTGTGTACAGAACAAGCAATTCATGGTAAACTCAGTAAGGCACCTTCTAAAGCAGATGCTGTACAAAATACATTAGTGTGTTACATTTTTAAAGGAGTATTCTACACTTCTGGCATATAACACACACAAGAGTGTGACCATTTGTCTTGTTCCACTCTTCTTTCATATTTTATTTACATCTTCTCTAGGTTAACTACAATGTTATTTATTCTTCTTGTATACAATATAGTACATTTCATTTTGGGCATGGCATGTCAGAGCACAAATGTCACTACATGATGTGGGCTTCTATAATCACATTCAAAGGTAAAATACTACAAAGCAACAATTACATGAGATTTGTTCAAAAATTAGAAGTAACGTGCACTCCACTTCTGCTATACCATGGCTCCATAAAGCACTGCATTGTGCAACATTGCCAGCCATTTTAGATACCACCCCTATCTGGAATAAAGATTGTGGGCACAGGATAAAGACTTCTGACTTCAAAGGTACTGTCAGAAGAACGAGGAAGTGCTAAATCATTCTAATATTTGACAGAAGATGAGTGCGTAACTGCGTAACTTCCCTTTAAAAATATCTGCAATAGCCAAAAAAATGTTTTTTAACTTAGTACCTTTGCTTTTCAAACATTTCAGACCGTTAAAATACAGTCTGTGAAGACAGAGTAGATGAAATGTATCCAAATGATTTGTTTTATAAACACATTCAAATGGTCATTTAGATCAAGATCTAAAATTTGATTCTAGAGTATTATGAAGGTAACTTAAAATATTAGTTGTACATTTTACTCAACACCTCGAAATAGAACAATTAATGGGGGAAAAGTGATAGACATTGGGAAAACTCAGTTTCTTAAGTAAAACTCAGGAGAAATTACATATTGAGTAAAACTCGGAATAAACTCAAAATGTAAGCCTACGTTTTTCTGTAGGAATATCATGTTTCTTGCGGAATTTACAAGTTAACCAGGAACACAGAAACTTTCCTTTCAGTTGCTGTAACAGTAAGAATTATGTGACTCAAATTATTTTCCACCTAACTGAAATCACATGGAGCAGATCAAATAAATACAAAAAAACCCTCCGTATGTGACTGTTTAAGAACTTCCAAGGCACAAACTTGATATTCCCTAAGGTATTTTCCACACTTCTGATTTTTATATTTAAAAAAAAAAAAAAAAAAAAAAAAAGAGAATGAAAACACATTTGCCAGTTTTGGGGGATATTTTTTTGGATGACAAATGCTTAAAATGATTAATCACATGAGATAATGAGATTAATGACACTCCAATAGACGAATCCTGCTATCCTCCCTGACCTTAAAGGCTTCTGAACTCTACAATTTTGCATAAAGCAACAACTTAGCTTTAGAATCTGCACTAAGTATGCTTAATTACGTAAAATTTAACAGGCTAGCTTTGAGAGAAGTTTTGTGGTTTGTTTTTTTTTTTTTTTTAATGATTGCTAAAATATCAGTATAGACATACTTAGGCTCCAAACAGTGAATGACTTTGCACAGAATGTAGATACGTGCTCAAGTGCTTTATGCAACCAGGTCCTTTAGCGATAACGTTTTTCGGAATATCAGGGAATCAAGGAATGCTAAAGACCTAGCAGCTCCTGTTCATGACAATGACAACTGCATATGCATGATATGTTTGAGTATGAACCTAGCACCTGAAGTGCTGAAAAATTAAGGTCAAGCTTAAGGCGAAAATTTTTTTTTTCTCTCAAAGATCATCTTTGCAGCAGTCAGCTCACTTCTGTGTTAAAGTGAATGTGTAAATCAATTCAGGTCTTAAGATGTCTACCAAAGATCACCATCCTATTGCCTTGCAAATGCCTAAACAATGGAGGAGAAAATAAGTGAATAATTAAAAACCACTGAAATTCCCACTTCCAGCAATGGCTTCCTGAAGACTTGGGAAAAATGAATTAAAAAATTCACAAAACAAGTTTAAAGCTAATAATGCTGTGGCAACATCTAAAAGAAATAAAAAAATATTCTAAATAGGAATGGGTTAATTTAAATAGACCTCCATGCTCTGAAAGTTTAAGCTAGCAGGGTACATACATAAACATTTTTCCTTCTTATTGATAAAAATCCTAGAGAAGGGGAAAAAAGCACTTACCCCTTACTATTTTTGGCTCATACCAAATATTTTCCAAATACGTGTGCAAAAATTATGTGCGAAGACATGATTAACAATTTCAAACTCATCATATATTTCTTGGCAATGGACGGAGAAATGTTCTTTTAAAAAGCCCTTTATCACGAGGATTGTGGCACAATACCATGTATCTCTTGCTGTTTTCAAATAAGTTAAAATCATAGTTGACACACCTATGAATTTTTCAGCCAGAATACATATTAATACTTAAAGGCATTACTGAACAAAAGTAATGACTTTATTTTTTTTTAAAAAAAAGAAATGTCCCTCGAAATAGCTAGTTTTCTATAAAATATGTAGAACTGTTAAATAAAGTCTGTACATCACAATAGAAAATAAAAATACTGCAATCTTTTGCCTGACCATTTACATTATGTGAACTACAGAATCAGAACAAAAAAATAACATGTTAGAAGGTTGTAATTGTTCACAAATCACATTAGTTCTGCATTACATTGTTTTCTATCAGTTGTATTTTTCAAGGGAAATTTAAACACATATCAAAACAATCTCCATGTACATATTTTAAGACAACAAATAATCTGGCATAAATCAATCTGAAGTTTTAACATTTTTCATCAATTTTAGTATTATTTCTAACTTTTTTCCTCAAATCTTGACTATGGCATGTGTGTGTGCATGTATCTAATTGTACACATGTATCAAGGACCAGGTGTTTGGTTTTTGTTTTTGTTTTTTTTTTTTTTACTAAAGCACAAAACACACTGTATAAATAACTTCCCTTTTTAAAGTTATCTAGAACAAGACTTACAGTACAAAGTTATAGGCACTTAAATTATCGAACAGGTTCAATGGTTCCAATACTGTGTGTTCATTCTTCTGATGATTCATGCATTTGAAGCTTCAACTTGAGTTATGGTACTATTTTCTAACTTCAAAGTAGAAGTGCCAAAGGAGTTATAAATCAGTAATTCTGCCTTACAGTAACCTCATGGAGGGGTTCTACGTTTTAACCAACTTGTCTGGATCAGTGAAGAAAAGGAGGGAACTACAGTTTCCTGTGCATGCCAAATAGTTGGCACAATAGGACGAAATTTTGCAATTATGTTAACTTTATCTTCATGAATTATCTTTCTAATGCCATTCCTCCCAAATGGGCCTAACTAGAACTTAAAACACCCACTGATTTACCTTGTCTCAAATCTTGAATTTTTTAAGTGTCCACTAAGTGGCCCACAGACATGGCCTCCTGCATTTACACGAGGGCAGCCCAGCTCAACATCATCTGCATGTTGTGGACCTTACCTTCAACAGCTAACATATTCAGTTCTCCTGGTTCTTGACTTTTACTGTATTCTCTACTCTCCTGAGTGCCCGGCCTGTGCTTCCTGCCTTGCCTCTTTTGTGTCTTTAAATTAGACTTGTTCTCAAGCCTTTCAAAACTTCTCTTCTGAATGATGAAAAAGCATGCTCCTACAGCTGACTAATACCTTTCTGTATGGAAAAAAAGTTCAGAGCATGACAGATAACTACCAGCGAGTCCCAATAAAGTAGAAAGGCAAAACACATCATCAATGGTCTTTCTGTTAAGATGTAAAGTATTCTACAGCAAATACGCTGGTTGCACGTGGCATTGTGAAAAAAATGCCAAATTTCATAGTCATCCAATTATGGGGCCCACTAGACTGTAAGTGAGATGACCAAGGCAGTCTATACCTCTAAGAGAGATTGTTTCAAGCTCTCTACACTCAGGTAGGCATTCCTCAATTTATTAATGGTTCACATTTTTGCAGTTCTGCTTGTGATCAAAACAAGAATAGACATAAAATTAAAGCTGAAATTCTGGAAGATAACTTAATGGCAAGGAGTAAATTCTGTAGCAAATCTCTGATTGTGGAGCCATAAAATGCATGGAGCCCTGACCATAAAACTTTGTTCATTTCAATGGTTTCTTATCTATTCCAAATGACAGCAAAATAATCCTGGCACACACATAAAGGCATAAGGAACTGTTAAACTGAGTAGTATCACAAACAGATTCATAAACTACAGGCTGTTTCACAAAAACTTGGTACGGATTGACTAGGTTTTATCAGGTAGAAGGCAAAAAAAAGCTTATATTCTCCATCTCTGTTGAATCCATATAGCTTGTTAGGCTTTCACAGAAAGCACTGTAATCTGAACATTCAATTCAGTACCCAGAGTTTTACTGGAGACTCACTAAGTATGACTGAAGTCTCAATGCAGCTCAAACAGAAACAAAACGTGTATTTTATCAAGGCTGTCCATATACGTAGCACGTAGTGTATAGAGGCTCTCAGTATCACAGTCTATGAAGTACTGAAAGATTTGATTAGCAGCCTGTAGAAGTGTGCTGAGAAAATATACTGAATCTCAGTTATTTCCTCTTTCCACATAGGTCTCACCCATGTTTGAGTGAAAAGATCTAGGAGTCCAGCTTTGCTCTCCAATGTCAATTTACTATGTCAAATCTTTACATCTTGTGATTCCACCATCTTGGCAAGTGTCTTCTTGATCCTCAAGGCAGTGAGCCTTGAGGCAGGATTATGAGCCCAGCATTCAGACATTAATTTCAATATTGCTCTTAAACACTGTAAAATAAAAACCAAAGGAACAGTATTGTAACAACTGACAGACCTGAGAGGTATATAATCTTGTTTTGCTGTCAAGCCCAAATTATGGAACTCTTAAGTCCAAATGTGCAACTTCTACATTTTCTGCAAAATTGCCGATAGAGAACTATTATAAACAGATCAACTGAAAAAAAAAAAAAAAACCAAAACCAACCCCACCAAAAAAACAACCCAAAACCCATGTCCCAATCCTTCTTCTTCCTCCCCTTCACTGCCTAGTATTACAGTAGTTGGAACTAACTGAAGTGTTTCTTTAGTTTCACAAAGATGCATTACCAGATCGTATCATTACGACTCAAGAACAGCAGTACAGAACTGGTAGCAATAAGCAGAAAAATTTCCATATATATGGCAGGAAAAACTGTAGAGAACTTTTTCACTGAAAATGAAGATGTGACAAGAGTTCTTCCAGCAGTCAAAAAATGATATGCAAAAAATGGGGATTCCCAAAAGAAAGGAAGGATTTGGGGAAGAAAGTATATGGCATATCTAGTTTGCTATGTGAAACAGTTACATGTTATTTACTGTGTTCAAGCTGTGGCCCTTTAAAAACACATTTAAATTTAATATTTTAGTTACATCATGGCTTGCCCTGGAATGTACCAGTAAAAAAGAAAAAAAAAAGAGGAAATCTACAAACAAAGATTCACTTCATATTCCATGAAATACCTTATGCAATAAACCAATAAGCTATGTACACTAAGAGTAAGAAAACCAATTAAAAACTCATTTAAGTTTTAGCTCCAATCAAAACTCTGAAAAATATTCCCCTATCTAAAAAGATCTCAGTTAGAGCAGTATTCATACACTTCGATGCTGCTTAAGGGTATCTTCCCCTTAGATCACTGAAAAGATACATAAAAAATATGGTGGTTTGAGTTGATTTCAAACATATCTTTCTCCTATTGTTGCTGTGAGGTTTTCAAAATATCAGAATGTCTGAATGTAGTCCCTATTTTACAACGTTTTAGTATTTATTAAAACTAAAATGCCCTTCCATATTAATGAACAAACTGAACTAATTTTTCCTTTCAGCATACTCACTTCATCACTATTCCATCTATTCGATACTACTGGGCGTAGGCGTTTGACACACACCACTTCTCTCATGTCCTCATAGGATGGATCATTTGGCACCATGTCGTAATATGGCAACTGATACTCTTCAACAATACCTGGAGAGAATTGTGAAAGATCAAGAACTATGAAAAAAAAAAAAGTCTATATATCTATCTACTCTAAGATTTCCTTAGCCAGAGGCAAAAGTTAACTCAATTTTGTGCCAAGGCAAACCCACCACACAGTTATACTGTGATGAAAATCCAAAAATTTCACTATAACAATCAAGACATTTATCAGAAAAGCTCCAATATTATGAATATTAAGTTTAATAGCTACAATAATTCCTTGCAATCCCTTTGACTTTGATATCCAATGTAGAATTTGATATCATCTAATCCACCACATGCCACAAAGAAACAGGGAGAAAGCGCAAGATGGAAGAACAACAGAATACAAGTAAAGATCTATATGGTCACAAAAGAAGAGTGAAAGAAAAGGAAGGATGAGTCTCAAAAATATGTGTAAGGAGAAAACTGAATGACACCAGAAGTGCAGTCAAGTATAACAAGAGAGTAATATCTTATCAATTGCATTTTAGAATTTTTATTAACAGCACAGGGGTGAAATACATCTGAATCCCACTATTTCTCCCAGACCAGGTACTCTGCTTTTTGAGCAAGGAAAAAGGTCTGAGATGCTTAATTGTAACAATCAAAAAGGTTTAGTTCAGTGAGTTTCAAGCTGTACTCTGGACAGACTGTTACTACTGCTTTTAAAGAATGCAAGTCTGTTGATATAGCAGGCTTGTTATATTATTTCCTGGAGAAGTATTGTTAAAGTGAGACAAGGGCCTGGTAGATTTTGTATACAATATTTAAAAGTTTACCTCCTGTGACACAGCGCCGAGCCATTTCCCAAATGATCAGCCCAAAACTGTAGATGTCAGCCATGATGTATGGTTGGAAATGGTTTTTATTCAGGCTTTCATCTAAGACCTCTGGAGCCATGTAACGTTTTGTTCCCACTCTAGTATTCAAGGGAACATCAACTTCATTTGTGTCACTATATGAAAATATTAGAAAGTTAGTGAATTGTGGACTATTACAAGACATGGTATGAAATCCTGTATGATGCAATCACTACACTGCAAAGCTCCCATTTACGAATTAATTTCATTCTTTTATATCCTTCTCAATACTACACTTACAGTACATTGTACCTCCCTGAAAAAGTTTATCTAGAAGAACGATAGTGAGTATGGAAGTTGACAGTTTATTGCTTCTTCTGCAAGACACTGAAAACACATGTGAAAAACCTGAATTAAAAACCACTATAAAGATGAGTATATTTGGTCACAACTCAGAAAATTATTTGCAAAGGCTTACGCTTCCTTTCAGGCTCTATTGTAGCAAAAGACAATTCTCTGGCTCCATTGAACTTGAAAAAAAAGTATTCCATAATACTATTACAGTATTACTTTTCCAATTAAGTTTCAAATCCCTTCACACTGTTCAAATTTTTTATGAGATAATTTATAACTAAATGAAAGCAATTACTATGAAAGGCCAGTTTTGAATAATGAATGAATTAGTTTCCTCTTCCTTTCCTCTACAAAACTTTTACTTTCCACAAGAAAAGTCTTTTCATTGTTCTCTTAGCAACCTATTTTCATCTTGATGCTTACTAGCATTCAAAGGAAGAACAGCATTTTACTCTCAAAACAAAAAAAAAAAATGAAAGCATGCAACCAACTGACTCCAACTTCCTTATAAATAGGACATCTGGCACATTAAAAATAAAAAAAAAATTATATAAAAGTTTTTCCATTACAGAGGATTTGTTCATCTACCTGTTAAACTTGACTGCAAGACCCAAGTCAGCAATGCAGCAGGTGCCATTTTTCTTTATCAAGATGTTTTTACTCTTCAGGTCCCTGTGTGCAATAGCAGGCTTGCCTTGTGTCCCATAAATTTCTGTGTGTAGATGGCACAGACCACATGCAGCAGAATACGCCAGTTTGAGGAGAGCCCTGTTGTCTAGTGTAGTGCATTTCAGAAAATCATACAATGATCCATTTTCATGATAATCTGTAATCAAGTAAAGCTGTGTCCAGGAGCCAGTGCCTTTAATATCTGCAGCTATGAAACCTATGAAATATATAAACAAAGTTACAATTTATTTGCACATAAACTTTTTACGCAACTGATTTAGTAAGAATTCCTAAAGCTACACTGTCCTGGACTGTATCAAAAGATACCTGTTCCCCTTATGAAAACTAAAATGTAAAAGCTGAGGCTTCAACTATACATGAGGTTACCATTCCAGTCTTCCAGCAAAGAGATTGCAGACACATTTCCAACCAACAGCAGCAAGATTCTACCATTTGAATAACATTTTATTAGCATACATTAAGGGATACCCATCTGGTTATTCCATCGAAGCCGCCACATAGCCCTCAAGCTACCCACTAAGAACTCCTCCTCCTTCACCTTCACACAAGCCCTCCAGTAGCCAAACAATGTACTCCTTCCTTACCAAGGATGTTTTCATGACGCATTAACACAGTCTGGTAAATCTCTGTTTCTCGGAACCAACTGGCTTCTTCTGTGGTGAAAAACACTTTCACCGCAACTTTTTCACCCCTCCATTTGCCCATCCACACTTCACCATACCGTCCTTTTCCAACTTGCCTCACCATCTGAATTTGTTTGGCAATAGTGCGTTGAACCTAGGGAAGAAAAAGAAAAAATTAAAAAAAAAAAAAGAGGGGAAGGTGGAGGAAGCAAACCTAGCAATTAACCAAAAGACAAAATTAACCTGGACAAGCTGCTTCTCAAGCTTGGATTGCTTTGAATTTTGATCCTATTGTAAAATTTGTCCTATATTATTTTCCACTATTCCCATTTCAAACTGATTATTGCTGCCTCCGAGGAAGAACTATATAACAAACCCCAAAAGATTAAATCAGCTCAATTTCTTATTTAATTCAGATGCATTCTCTTGCATTCTATTTTTCTCTATTTTATAAATAATTACAGTCATCTGTCCCACTGGCTAATTTTTATTCAAGTATTACATAGGATGGTGAATCAAAAATTATGAACAACTATCAGCCAATAAAAAGAAAATCTATTTTATCGGACAGTGGACACTAAGAAAAAATACCTTTCAGTTCACTCAATTCAATACCTGTATTATCCATTCATTGCATTTTTATCTTAATGTCTGTAGGGTCTAATTTTTCTTTAAATTTTGCTGATGCCAACAGATTTCCTAACATATATTCTAATTTTTCACTTCATTTTCATTAATTATATGAAGATGGGCTTTCATATATGTTTAGTTTGTACTGTATCTTTCACAGTAATTGCACATAAAATAACTAACATATGGTATGGATTAACTGCTTTGTTCTAGACATTAGGTACAAACCAAACTTTGTATTTGATGGAGAGAAGTTCAGTGAAGAAAAATCTTAGTTTATGATTTACCAACAACGGCAGTCCTGATCCACTCCCAGAACTCTGTGACTGGTCAATAAGGTCTTTTAATGACTCCCCAACTGGAATAAATGCTTCATCTTGTTCCAGGTCACGATTATAACAGTGCCTCTTTGCCATCGACTTACAGTAATGCCTGCAAAAGTAACAGAAGTTAAGCTGAACTCCAAAACACTCTTCAAAATATGTAGTAAATAGAGCTATTTTTTTAAAAAAGCTATTTAAATGTACAAATTTTCTTAAAAGAAAAAAAAATCAGATTTTACTGTACCATTTCTTTCAGAAATGTAACTTACATAGTTTTTTAGTATTAAGAAGTTGTTGTAAGGCATGTAGAGGCACGTCGGTTTATTATGAGTCAGGTGGAACCCCAGCATTTTTAATACTCGGCTCACAGACAGTGTTACTAGCATAACACCACTGGTTTGGGTTTAAACTAACAGACTGAACCTTGAACCATGGCAGATGAGGCTGACACGCACGTTTCTGCTGAAACTGCTCAAACAATGCTTGTCTCCAGCACAGGGCTGGAGCTGACAGAAGCAGGCACAGTCTCTTAAACTGCACCTGCACGAATTGCCATAGCTCAGCTGGTCGGTTACTTAGTTTTGAAACAGCAGAAAAAGGAAAAGTTGTAAAACACATCCTTGTCACTTTAAATTGGCAAAAGCACTTTACAAAGGTAAATCTCAGAAGTAGATGGAATTTAACTATCAAAAGTGACTGAAGATTCAAAAATTAAGATATTCCCGTTTACTGGATGCTATAGCATCAAAGTTATACGTAGCTTAGAAAACTGTAAACACTTTGTAGCCAGAGGAAAGGATCAAATTCACTTAAAGTCTATGCTGTCACCATTTCATTTTACCTAGCAATGCAAACTAGTATACACAGAAATGTGAAATTAAATTACAATGGTTTCCCTTCCAATCTATTTTTGTCAGAAATACATATGATTAACTGAGTACATTTACAAAATAACTGTTCTGTTTACACTCATTTTGAAATTAAAAACCTTGCCAAGAAAGTGCTTTCCTTACTTGTAACAAAAGCAGCTAAATAAGATGATCATGACAATTATGCAGACTGCCATAGAAATCAACACTGCCATCCAACGAATGCTGCCATCAAAAAGTCCATCTAATTTAAAAAAAAAAAAAAAGGAAAGTTTCCAAAGTCTATTAAATTAAACATCTATTGTAAACAGTTTATTTAGGCATGATATTTTCATATACTGTGTATATGAATGTGCACAAACTGAAACACAGGAGGTTTTGTCTGAGCATCAGGAAATACTTCTTTACTGTGAGGGTGATCAAGCACTGGCACAGGCTGCCCAAGGAGGCTGTGGAGTCTCCCTCCTTAGGGATATTCAAAAGCCGTCTGGACAGGGTCCTGTGTAACTGGCTCTAGGTGGTCCTGCTTGAGCAGGGGGGTTGGACCAGACGATCTCCAGAGGTCCTGTCCAACCCCCAACCAGTCTGTGATTCTGTGACAGTATGTGGAGCCACGTGCAAAACATCAGAAAGCAGCAAGACAGCTGATGCATATAACATAACAGTTCATATGAAATTACACAGAATTTATAGCGTTTTAGTATCAAATTAAGTATTTACACCAGAAAAGCACAGAGAATTTCATTTGGATGACAACGAAAAAAAGGATTTAACTTGAGAGTTTGGAGTTGTTGGTTTTGGTTGACTCGTTAGTTTGTTCTTAGAAACAGAAATGAAGGATTTACCGCAGTAAGATTCTGAGAAGGTATTAAGCAACAGTTAAACCAGTACGACTTGTATAGCAATGAATAAGTGCATGAAAATATAAACTATTTTCACTGGGAACAACAGAAAGAAGAGAATTAATTTACAGTAGATAATAGTGAACAATGTCAGAATACTTTTTTTAAGATACATTAATCATGGCAAAAGCACAGCAGAGATTAAGAAAACCATTTTAGAAAGAAAAGGCAACAGACTGTGGAAACAGAATAAAACCAGATCAAAATATCACATGCAGATCAAGATATGAGCAAACTGAGCAAGAGAATAAAAATACCATGAGTGACTGATGGAGGAAAAGATTAACTTGGGTGGCAGAAAAGGAAAACTGGAAATAAGAGTATGAAGTGTAGTACACAGCTTCATATCAAAATTACTTAGTAAGGAAAAAACAGATCTGTGCAATACTGTAATTACATTTTCTCCTTATTTTTATCTGTTGATCAAGAAGACAGAATCCATGTAGCATTTATTAGTAGCAGTGTGAACATCTAGGAGCTGTTTACCTGTACTATCAAGTGGTGGTAATGTTGGTTGTAAATCCTGATTGCAGAAATCAGTCCGACAGCACTCAATTGTTCGACGTAATTGTGCTTTGGGCGAGTCCTGTTGAAGAAGAATTGAATAAATGTTCAGATTTTGAAGTGACCAGCTAGGACGGGGACAGGTGATGCTACTAATACAACACAGCACAGACAAAAGTTTAAGCTACTTTATTTAAAAAAAAAAAAAAAACCAAACAGTTCAACCTCACCATTTAATGTATGAGACAACTTCACAGTGGCAGACAAGCACCATCTAATGTCTTTGGGTGCCTGCGTTCTATGTCCACATTTTTTTATTCTCCATGGAACTTTTTTACTTGGTACACAGAAATAGATGGTTCCTACTTAAGTTGCTATGTCATACATTGCAAAAATTTTAAGCTTAGTCAAAACCAGTTAATTGAATGTTAGATAAATACTGCTGAAGACCAAAAAAACCAATCCCTTCAGAAGTTTTTCTCTTGCACTCATCATAGCAACACTCTTTGCTTCAAAAACATCTTCAGAACACCATATAAAAGATGGAGGGGCATGAAAATTAATCTGAAGCTAAGACACTAATATAAATACAAGAACAATTTCAGGAGGTCATCATGACACCTCAAGTCTGATTTGCAGTAACCCTAAACACTCACAGCTATAATTGAAGTCAACAGTGCCTCCAAAAAGCAGTGCTACTGACAGCTACATTATGTAGAAACTCAAGTCCTAGAGATTTAAAATTGAGTATCCAAAATAGTGATAGCATTTGGGGGAGGGAGAGGGGAAGCAACCCAGCTGGTGATTACCTCTGGAAGCTTTGTTTAATGTAAGCAATGTGACAAAAGAAAAAGCAAAATCATTTCTTCCAAGGCAATATTTATTTGCCCAGCTAGTGTTATATACCCCTGTCTTCTAAACAAATCCTGCTTTATTAACTGCATTTTCAGTTCCAACTTTTGTAACAGATACAAAAGTTCTAAAGGCAGCAGTCTGCTTAATTATACCTCTTTGAATCAAAAGCAAGTTCTGTTCATGCAATTAACGACACATAACTTCTAGAAAGGAAAAAGTTATATATCAGACAGGAAAACATACACATTTGATAAACTGTGTGTACATGTTCATAAAACTTTAAGGGAGCTCTTGCGTAATCTGTGAAGACAACTCCTTATGGTTATGCTCTTCTGTCAAATGAACTGAAGAAAACAAGAAATTCCAAATTCAAACAATCAAGAAATTCTGCATTAAAACATAAACTATTCAGATCAATTAGGCTGACTATGAAGTTGTCTCTTCAACTGAGGAAACAGCTGACAAAAGGTTGATGTCCTCTGTTCATTTTGTCAGTGGCTTACGGATACTTGCAGAGAACTCCAACAAGCTAGGATTCTATTCCAATCTTTGCTCAAACACCATTAGGTGTCCTTTCTGTCACTACTCACCGATGAATTGTTCAGTCCCATTCTCCTCCGTACTACATGGCAACGTGTAACATTCTATGATTGCAGTTGTAAACTACAGAGATTTAAACTGCTTATGC